ATACTCTAGAAAGAAAAGAGGCGGAGGCGTCGCAACTTTCATTCATTCTCAGTGGTCAACCTCAAATAATGTATGTTTTTCTTTCTCTAGTGACTTTATTGATTGTATTACAGTCAAATGTCGTCCGAAGCACTTATCCAAGTTTAATTACGTCTTCATCTCAAAAATTTATGTTACTCCTGGCTGTTCCGCCTCGGATCTATCTTATTTTGCCGATGAATTCACAGCATTCGCGGTTATACATCTTGAAAACTCTTTATCAGTTGTCACTGGAGATTTCAATACCTGTGACTGTTCTTTTCTTGAATCATTAGGTCATGCCAACATTGTCAAATGTCCAACTCGACTTGATAAAACGCTGGATCTAGTATTTACTAATGATGCGGAAATATATGAAGCACGCAGACGTGCTCCTATAATGAACTCTGATCATTGTATTATTCGGATAATACCCAATATATATAGCAGATATCACTCTAATATCCTCTCGAATCTCTCCAGGAAAACACAACAAAGATGTTACTCACAAGAAAACGTGCTCAAACTAAGATGCATGTTAAATGACACAAACTGGGAACTTTTCACTGAACACACACTGGATGATACTATTTCCAATCTGACTGACTATCTTAAATTCTGCCTTGATGTATGCTGTCCAAAACAGATACTTTTCAAAAGAATAGACCATTTCTCTTCTCCTCATCTCAAAAAGCTTCGAAGAGAAAAAGGGAGACTGTACAAGGCTAAGGATAAAGCTGGTCTTAGGAGAATAAACATCCAAATTAAATCCGAAATCAAGAGGTTAAACAATATTTATAATCAAAGAATTTTGTCATGTAAAACTCCTGGGAACATGTGGAAGCTTTTCAAAGAAATTACAGGTTGTGGTAAGCATAGTTCTTGTGCTCCCTCTATTGATGTAAATACTCTCAATAGATCTTTTATCCGCCTTCCCAATGTACCTTTTAGCTTCAATGTAACAAATAACATGACCAGTGACTTTAATAGTTTTAAAACTTCTGATGTTCTTAAATGTTTAAAATCTCTTAGACCTTCCCAGAGTCTAGGTCCTGATGGTATACCTGCCATTGTCCTAAGGAAATGTGCTGATATTTTAAGCAACCCGCTTACAAACATTTTAAATACTTCTTTTTCTAGTGATGTTGTTCCTTCTCTGTGTAAAAATATTAAAATCATCCCTGTACCCAAGTCAGGCTCTGGTAATAATGCTAAGTTCAGACCTATCGCTATTACTTCTCCTTTTTTGAAACTAATGGAGAAACTATTGTTACTAAAACTTGTTCCCTCCCTAAGTTGCTCAAACGATCCAAAGCAGTTTGCTTACAAACAGGGTAAAAGTACTTTGGACGCTGCAGCTCTGTTTCATCACAACATTGTATCCTCCTTAGACAAAAGGGCCAAGTTCCTTGATTATACATCTGCTTTCGACTCTGTACCTAGAGGCCTATTGTTAAACAAGCTTAGCCCTACACAAACTGAGCCCTGGGCTATCAACTGGCTACACTCTTACTTCTCTAATAGGATGCAGTATATAATGGTGTATCTTCCTCTCCATTGCTTACTGAAGCTGGAGTTCCTCAGGGTGCTGTTCTTTCTCCGTTTCTCTTTTCCTTCTTCTTACATGATTTACCTCTCTCAGATGAAATCAACTTCGTCAAATATGCAGATGACCTGTCTGTATCGTTTCCCATTAAGTCTCAGTCAGACTGTCCCAAATTAAATAGCTTCCTGTCGGACATCAGTGAGTGGTCCAAACTAAATGGTCTCATACTGAATCCCTCAAAATGCCAGACTATTGACTTCTCCCTTAGGCATAAACGAGATCTACAAACACTAGTAAGTTCTCATGAAGACTGTTGCATTGAGGGGACTAAAATTGAAACTAAGTCTAATGCTAAATACCTCGGTCTAGTTCTATCTTCCGACCTTACTTGGACATCTCATATCCTAATGATTTCTAAGAAAGTTTTCTGTCTTACCTACTACATTAAGAAACTTAGACAATCTGGAATCACCCAACCTCTACTTTCACAATTTGTCAACTCTTTTATCTTACCTATTCTATTTTACTGCTCCCCGTTGGTCTTTCCTGGTCTACTGAAAAAGGACTATACCATCCTGAGAAGGATGTTGAAGGTAGTCAGTAGGACTAGTGGTGTAAATCTCAGTCAGCTCGTCACTACTTTAGTTGATAGGCATCTGAATGCATGCGAAAAATGGTCTAAAACCATACTCTCAGACCCCCAACACCCCCTTTATTCCCAACTCTTGCCTTGTATCTCATCAAGTAAAACCAGAAATCAGTATAAAATAATCTATGCTCGTACAACCAAGTACAGGAACTCAACGATACCATACTTGGCCCGTGTTCTAAGCGACAGAGACAATGTTAAGCGTGAAACCTATGACTTGCTTTGTTATTAACAACATAATTTTAGGCTCTTTTATTTCTCTCTTATTTTGTATTCTTTAGTGAACTCCTTCTTCAAACCTACCTAAAATATTAACATTGGCTTCCTTTTTTGTACTTTACTATATTCCTTCTATTGTGTATCCACTGGTTCCGACTCTATTAGCACTATGAGTATTACAAAATTGTCCTGTCATTAACCATCATGTAATTATTAGTTTTGTGGTTGTTTTTTCTTATTTTCAAATCGTGGAAAATCCCCATTGGAACATTAGATTGAGAAGAATAAGAAGTTCAGCAAAGATATCTTTTCGGCGATTTCATTTTCAAAAGCTGTACAATCGCATTTCAAATACATAATTTCACATGGTGGAATATAAGGCTTCAAGAGCACATCGCCACCACTCTTCTTAGATGAACACAATCAGTGTTTCGCCCTAGTTTATGGCTCTTCATCAGTACTCATCTAACGGGCGCGACGCCAGGACCTCCTGGTGTCAAGATGAACTCGTAGACTATTCAATCACTAGGACTCAACCTGGTAGACCTTGAATTCCAACTCCTGCCAATTCACCATATGTAACGCACCCTCCAGTCAATTTGTTGTGCGAGTAACTAGAGGGACCCGAATTAGAACGAAACAGCTGTCCAGTACTAGTACCTGGTTTCCCAATGGTTCTCTAAATGATGTTTTTAACTTGTGGTCAAACCTCTCACCGGTCAAATCTTTAAAAACAAACACTTGAAAATCAATACTCTATTGTTGGTTAGCTGACTTTGCACATTGTTGACGGTTGGACTGAAATCCCGAAACGTGGATATTTTCACATGATTCTAGTCATTAATATGTTTATGATTCATCCTGAAGTATAATTCGTCTACATTACTACATTTAAGTTTTAAGCAAACGTTTTACCGTTGCATGATTTTGGGGTTACCGACAATTGGTTGCTAAAAACAACAGGTTGCAGACAATCAGCGGTGATGTGGCTGGAAATTATTTTCACCAATAAGATAGGTGGTACAGTCATTCTTTGTAGTCTCCCAGATCCTCATGTTTTTCCATATGTTTATTCTTTGTTCCTGTAGATTTCTGCTAGTTTTAGTTCTTCTAAGTATAATTTTTATATATTTTTCCTCTATGTTTGTATGCTATATGAAGTGTGTAAACTTGAATTGACTACACTTCTGTGAAAATTTCTACGTTGAAACCAAGTCAATCAATCAGTCAGTCAGAAAAAAGTAAGAGGTGTTTAGCCTCAACATAATCTTTTGGTCACCTGATTACTGATTACTTTTAGCTAGACAGACTACTACAACGTTGAGAAAGTAGGATTAGTGGGTGGTAAAAAGCTTTACTGACGTTCATTGATTGTCAATAATAAGCTCATATAGTTTTCAACATATACTGATATCATTTTGTAGGCTACTAGATATGAGGGGGCGGGGGATGATTTTCCCATTGTATTTTATCAAGTATTTGTTTATAGGGATTTGATCGACCACAGGTTTGATCGTTAGGTGACTTTAGTTAGAGAACCATTGGAATATCATAGGATACTCTTCAGTGGTACGCGCCCACCGGAGTTTGCAGCCAGAACCTTTTGGTTACAGGGTGGGTCTATGGACCATTCAACTACTGGGACCCAATTTAGTGGCCCACGAATTCCATCTCCCGCCAGTCAGCGACTTATACAGTAATCTATAGTGATCAAACTTTTAACCAATCAAATCCATGCAAACCAACACTTGATGATTAGTCTGATAGAATTAGTGGGAAGTCGTGACCAGCATGGTCCACCAAGCCAGGAATGAGGACAGTTGCTATTCTATGACACTGGTTGGCAGTTGCGATATATGTTGCGATTCGGTAGAAGTTGGAATTCATGAACTGTTGGAATACGTCGCAGTGTTTGAATGGTCTGGAGTTCGACCCAGGGTAGGGTCGTATTGTTGAAGAGTCTCAAGCAAGAGTGAAACAGCCACGAAGTAGTCCCTGACTTTGCAATGGTTCTTTAAATGATGTCAGTTCGTGATCGAATCCACGTGTTGTTTTATTCTTCTTCATTGATGCTTTGTTTTTAATGATTTTCAAAGATTCAGGGATTGGCACTTTAAATTATCTTTTAATTGATGGACTACAGTGTTTGTTCGTCAAACATGGCCATATATCACTGAAAGAGAAAGCGTCACAATGCACGTGAAGCCAAATAAATTTGGCGCTGAAAATTCTAGTTATCTAAACTAATTTATCGGTTACTTCAATTTTAAACTGATTAGTTATATATTTACTTTGGAGATAACGTTTTTATTGTGAAACAGCATGCACAAGCATTTTTATTTGAACTTGTTTGTTCATTGCAGTAGAACATTTTCTAACAGTTACTGATAATTATCTCGTTCTGTTTTCCCTTTTTCCTTCAAAATCAACGGAAATCGGGACTCACGCATATTTGAACTGATCACCAGTGTTCAAGTATTAACCTATCGGTTGATAGATTTAAATGTTGCAGACAATCTTGGCTCTTTGTTAACAACACAAGAATGCAATTCATACATTGACAGTTTAATGTTTACCATCTTTGAACCGGATTGGGAGGAAGTTATTTCAAGGTATAGAAAATCTCACAGTGGATCATCAACAGCTGATCAAGTTTCGCTGTTTTCAATTCCTCTAATTGATAAACTGCATTACAGTGTACTCCTGTCAAGTATATCACCACCACAAGGTGCAGGCGGAGCAACATTCAACGGACGTATTATGGCGTTAAGAGAACTTGTTCAACAGATTGAAATAGCTAAACAATTCGGGAATTCGAATACTTCCTCACTCAGTGGGATGAGAAATTGTCAAAAGCGAACACGTCCCTCAGTGCCGCTTACATCGGCCAGTAAGTTAGCTACAGAGAATGTTGCTTTCTTGGCTAAACGACAAAAAAGGCGGGTTTTACGACTGGATCAATTAATGTCATGGATTCAAGATAACGAAGTGATAGCAAAGTCCTTACGTGAGTTTTACTACAACAATTTCTTATTTATGATTCACTCGTTAGGCGATTCGTATCAAAAATGATTAGAGTTTTTCTGTTTGTTAGAAGGCTTAAGGGATAATTAGGGGTTATCTAGAGGGAATGAACGTCGTGGATGTCCACTGATGAAGAGTCCCAGACAGAAATTATAAAACACATTTGATTGATAGCGGTCACCAAGTGGACAAAAATAGTGCTTTCAAAGTTATCTATCGTATTCCATCGAGTCTTTCGAATGGAATCAGAACCCGTCTTTTACACCTAGCCTAAGCTATGGGAATTCGAGAGAACAATCCTAGTCTTTGCATACAAAAGAAGTTTGTTCTACCTTTGTCTCTCCCTTGGCCTAGGTGAATTGTATTCAAAACCCTCTCACCCTTTCTTACTTTCCACCTCCTTCGTACTTTTATAATATTTACTTAAACTCTGATTATCGTTCCACTCCACCTTTTAAGATTTGACCCAATTTATTTATACACTTATATACATATACTATCTTTGGCGTTCCTGGACTGTTTAGTAAAAAGAAAATTAGA